ATCATGACCTGAGCGGAAGGCAGACACTTAACCTACTGGCCAATGTTTTTCACTTTTTAACAGTGACACATATTAAGAGATACATTTGCATTACAACCCTGACTGCACTTACACAAATGTGTAACAAATCTTCACACAACAGTACTTACTCTTATCTATCATGTATAACCCATTTGTGTGTGTGTGTGTGTGTGCGCGCACACGTGCGCATGTAATGATAGTTGCAACCTCTGAAACTGATTTTACAACTCATGAATAGGTCAAACCCATTAATTGTGCTTGTTAAAGCCTCTATTACTGATATCTGACTCCTGATTGATATTTAGCTATCAGTTAATGAGAGGCATGTTAAAATCACATTAAGACATAAATCTCAGATAAGACATAGACTCTGAAGCCAGACTGCCTAGGTTTAACTCCCATCTTTACTACCTACATAGATAACCCTTGGGAAATCTACTTAACCTCTCCTGTCTCCATGTCCCCATCTGTAAATTAGGGATAACAGAAATTTACCTCCTAAAGATGTTAAGATTAAATGAGTTAAAACAGGAAAAGCACTTAAATCAGTGCCTGGAATAGTAAGCACTAATAATGTAAGCTATTATTTTCTTCAAATCTACCTGATTGTTTTTGTTATTCCTTTAATTTTGTTACTTCTATAAATATTCAACCATAGTTGTTTTGTATTCTGTATCTGATAATTCCAACATCTGAAAAGATCTTGGTGATCTAATTTTGCTTTTTGTTTATTGTCTTACTCATGTTGGCTTGTTTCTTTATGTGTTTGGTAATTTTGTTGTTGTGAACCTTTATAGACCTGGATCAAAGATGCTTTCCTCCAGAAAATACCTGGTCTTCTGCTAAGTCTCTAGGAGCATTTCTAACCCAAAAGTACTTCAGTGGATTGGGGTTTCTTTCACTGTGCAGGTAGAATAAATCAAATTCCAAACCAGTATGTAGGCTGGCTTATGAATTCAGATTCTTAAGGAACACTCCTTTTCTCTACCCTGAGCCAGCACGAGAAACAGATGTTTCCTTGCAGTTCCTTTAGCCAGCAGACTTTTCCTCGCACTGGAAATACAGCAATGACACTACTGGGTATTTACCC